CCCCCGGCCCCTTCAGCCAGGCCAGGGCACCGAGCAGTGGGCTGCTCCGAGAAGAGCAAGGCCAGGAGGCCGGCGAGCATCCCCTGCGGGACTGGGGCGCCCGCAGCCCGGCCGGGGTGCGTTCAGCACCGCCGTGTCCTCCCCTGCCTTACCATTGCTGTTTCTCGTGCTTCTCATTTTCGTAGAAGACCGTAAAACCCCAGCTGGAAGGAGAGAGGTGAGAAGATGAAGACCAGTCTCGCAGACCTCCTCTGCCCTTAGCTCCAAGGGCTCTGGGTTAATAAGTATCCCAGCAACCACCCACGTCCCTGCAAGCCACCTGCATCCTTGCAAACCACCCGCATCCCTGCGATGCTCCTGCATCCCTGCCAGCCACCCACATCCCTGTGATCCTCCTACATCCCTGCAAGCCAGCCGCGTCCCCGCAAACCACCTGCATCCCTCAGACCTCCCTGCATGCCTGAGATCCTCCTGCATCTCTATGAGCCACCAGCATCCCTGTAATCCTCCTGCATCCCTGAGATCTCCCTGTATGCCCGAGATCCTCCTGCATCTCTGCACGGCACCTGCATCCTTGTGATCCACCTGCATCCCTGAAAGCCACCAGCATCCTTGTGATCCACCTGCATCCCCGCAAACCACCTGCATCCAAGAGATCCTCCTGCATCCCTGAGATCCACCTGCATCCCTGTCATCCACCTGCATCCCTGCAAGCCACCCACATCCCTGCGATCCTCTTGCATTCCCGCAAACCACTTGCATCCCTGAGATCCACCTGCATCCCAGCAAACTACCCACATCCCAGTAATCTACCTGCATCACATATCCATCTCTATCCCTGTGATCCTTCTGCATCCCTGCAAACCACCTGTATCCCTGAGATCCACAATATTCCTGTGAGCCACCTGCATCCCTGCAACCCACTTACATCCCTGTCCTCCACCTGCATCCCTGTCATCCACCTGCATCCCTGCAAGCCACCCACATCCCTGCGATCCTCTTGCATTCCCGCAAACCACTTGCATCCCTGAGATCCACCTGCATCGCAGCAAACTACCCACATCCCAGTAATCTACCTGCATCACATATCCATCTCTATCCCTGTGATCCTTCTGCATCCCTGCAA